TTATATAATAGCTATCTAATAAATTACATCATTTGTTCTAGATAATACATAGTACTTTGCTATGGCTCTCACTGCTGCTGAAAAGCAGCGGCGCTATAAAGAAAAGTGCAAATAAAACCCTGAAGAGGTAGCGGAAACTAAGAAGAAGGATTTAGAGAGATATCATAAAAAGAAACGCTTAATAAAAGACATGACTCAACTCAGTATAGAAACTACAGATCTTGTATAGATGGATTGACAGAAGAAAAAATAGCGCTACACGTAGATTTCAGTGAAAATTACAATTGCAAGTTCCATGAAGTGATATAATCACACCACTTTCGTGATACTCGTAACCAGGTATCCTTACATACTGGCGTATTGTATAAGCGAAGCTTGGAAAATCGAAACATAGAGGTGAAGTCTTTTTGTACAGTATCAGGTAACCTCTCACACGGCCCTTCGGCAATCTGGAGTCACCTTCATCCTATACTTTCCTCAATTCAAGACCAATCCCCTAAGATAAAAGTGATACACATATTTTCAGATGACCCGCTACTCAGTACCGCCAGAATCAAAACTTCTGCTTAATATGGACAAAACTTTTTTCAAAGTACAACCTCACCAAGCCTACATGGAATTTTTTCGAGTCGGGACACGGCAAAGGAGCAGCTGTTGGTGTTGGTGGCTTTCTAAAACGGACTGCTGACCAGCTTGTTGCTGTTGGGAAAGACATTCTGATAGCGTCTTCGTTCTATCAGTCTCTGAAAGATAGTAGTAGAGTTAAGGTCAATCTTGAACTGATTATGATATTGAAAGAATCACAAATGAAATTCCAGCAGAAATTGTTCCTTTCAATGGTATAATGAAAGTACATCAAGTGTACTACTAGTGTATTACAGAAGAAGTGGGAGCGCTGAAATATCGAGAGTTGAGCTGTTTCTGCTAGCTTGGTTTCTCCTCATGAATGAATCCAAAAAACTATTGTCTACTAAAGGATACAGTCGAAGAATCAAAGGAGTAATTCTACTAATCTAGCGGATATAAGTAATTTGATTGAACAGAAAAGGAAATCTTTTTACAATGTAATTTACAGTTCGAGTTCGGAATCAGATGATGATAATCCTTTGCTACGATTAAAAGATAAGGCATCAGATCAACCCTGCTTGTCTAAAGAAAAAAATGATGAGAATCACTTGATTCATAAAGAAAATATTCATCCAAGTAAAATCAAAGAAGGAGGCTAGGTCTTAGTTAAAGTTTACAATTCTGAAAGTAAGTGTTTATCTAGGCAAAGCATTAAGCGAAGTAGACGATGATGGTGAAGTAAAAATTGTCTTTTTAAATTCTGTTGACAATACTAGAAAAACATACAAATTAGTTTAAAATGATATATCATATGAACAATATGAGAGTTTCATAAGAGTTGTTTCAGTACCTAAAAAGTAAATAAAGGCAAAAGGGTATATTACCAGTTCCATACTCCACTAGAGATATTTGAAAAATAAGTTATCAGCTTAGGTTTAATTTGATCTCAATAAGATTTTTTAGCTTTTTCCCCTTAAGTTTTATAATCTAATTAAGTTTCTAAACTTCTTAAAACAGTTCATAGCCAAAAATATTGTTTTTTGTGATAGTAGTTCATAAATTTGTTGCGAATAGTACAACTATGTTATTGTTCCTACAACTTTGTTACTTTTGTGTCCCTAAATATATAAGAGTAATGTCTCGAATTTTATGAAAAGCTGACACCTGACTCTATGCATTGTTTATTAATTATTTAATATTCTCATTTATACACAACATCATCATTATATTTTAATAATTTAATTCAATTTACATAGTTTATAGTGAAAATTTGATCATTAAAACAAAGGAAGTAACAGAGTATATTTAACTTCCATTACTGTTCCTACTTAAGAAGAACTATTGTGTAATTTTGCATGTTGAACATGAGAGTAAAGACTTAATTAATGTTCACTTACCTTGTTGTGATTTTTGGAACTGTGTACCACTCAAACGATAACCTAGCATTCATAAACGGACTTACGCATACGCAATGGAAAGTGTATTATGTGTAAATAGCGGCTCTGCTGGTGGTACAATATTGTTTAAAAATGAACAGAGAAGCAATCGTGCAATATTGCTGTAATTGCATCGTTGTACGCAGAACCATCGGTTGCTGCGCCGATGTTATGACTATTATTTGGTACTTGAGCTTTACGAGACATCAAAATAATATCGACATCCCTACACAGTTTTTAGACAATATTCTTATTTCCAATTTAGAAAAAGAACAATAAACATGAAATTAATCTGTGTTTTATTTCTAATTCAAACATAATAAGTTAATGTACGTGTAAAAACAACTTATACTACCAATTAGGTACTAAGTCGGTAGGGCTGGTTTCATAGTCACGCGTTTGAACAGCGCCGTCCAGACGCACACGCTTACAAATGTACTAGATAGTAGGCGTGTGCACAGAACACTAATACCCTTAGGCGGGGGCGTGTGTATCTCTTTACGGAAACGACTCACTGATACGAATCACTGAAGTGACACAAAAGATTGGTTCAGTAACAACGTTTCAAATGTATCATTTGTATCTGGAACAGTGAAACATTACTTTGCTCTTTGCTCATTTCGCGCGACGCGTCGCTTGCGAGGCGACTGAGCCACGAGCGAGAGAGAGACTGAGACAATGATTAACTATTGACTCACGAGTGGCGAGTGAGCGGGCGAAATAATTATAATCCACACAAGTCAGATAGAGATAACAAATAAGAAGTGTATCCTCAACTCGTACGGATTTTCGCTGACGTTATTCATGCACGTAAAAATTACCTTATGGCGCTTATGTGTCAAATACTATACGGTCGTTTTTTGTATGTAACGTTTGCATTAATAAGTTGACATTTTACGTTGATGCGGCACTTGTCAAATTGTTTATATTCATTAGCGCCTCTTTACGAAAACATACTGAGTTATGTTTAGGATTTCTTTGCGTAGTGATTATTGTGACTTTATTTTCTTCCTTTTCATCGTAAAGTTTAGAGTTATGATACTTTACGAGTAAATTGTGTGTACATAGACATTGCTGTTTTGTGTAAATGGACATTTTTTGTAAATAATGAATTGACATAGTGACATTTTTGTTAAAGTATGAAGGAGAATCGATTTTATATACAATCTTATTACGGTACACAATAAATAATCTAAGCACTTATATTATTCAGCATGGTTGTCACATAATATTTCACGGATCAGTCAGTAATAAACGCCCGCGACGCAACTTAATGTACCTATTCGGAACATTATTTCTTTCATATCTTTTGAGGCGATGATACAAATGAGCCAAATGAAACATATCAGTGTTTCGGAACATTTCAGTGATCAAGATGCAAATGTTCCAATCCCAAAAATGATACACTTTGCCCACCTCCACTAGATAGTAGTCTATAATATTCACGCTGTTCATGCGCGCGCTGTTGAAACTTGGTTGAAACCGTGGTTGATACACTCGCTGTTCGACGGCATGGCTAGCGTCGTGACTGACAGCCTAAATCCTTATACATTTAGGTACTAGGTATCTTACCGTACCGTATATGCTAATGACAACATCTAAATACTAACAGCCATTATATACATATATTTTTATTTTTACATTAATACACACAAACATTATCTCTCATTTCAAAACCAATGCTCAGAAAGCAGGTTTGTTAACTACATTCTATGCATTTATACGTTGCACTTACATACACTTAGGCTTTAGAACAAAAATTGCATACCTAATTATGTAGATAGGTACTAGAAATAGCTAAATGTTTTAGGACATCGTTTTTCAGTTTGTTAAAAATCACTCGAATCTATGAAAAACCGTAATATTCATGGTTCGATTATAACCTCAAAATCTGATAATTTTTTTGAAATATATCTATTATGCAGCTAGTCCGCTATAAAAATAAGATCAAATAGGAATTTACTAATGATCAACAATAAAATACATAATTTTCCGATGCTCTTGGTTCCAGGGCGAACAATGTATGGGCGGAGAGCAATGTCCTTTACTATTATTTAGTTTTTTGTGATATTGAATTATTTGTAAAAAATACAATATTTCTTCGTTGTGATGTAAATTACTAAAATTTACTATTATTTAGTTTTTTGTGATATTGAATTATTTGTAAAAAATACAATATTTATTCGTTGTGATGTAAATTACTAAAATTTATACGTTTATTTTTCTCTAAATTCAATTTTCACACCTATTTTTAATATCATAAATTATTATTTTAGATCTTAAAACATACATAGGTTTAATTTGTATTCTTCTATCAATTTTTCGTAGTTTTTTTTCTTTATTCTAGCTATTATAGTTAAGTAGCTATGTAGATTTTTTTTGTAACAACATTCGAGCACGGTAGCAGCCGAATCAGGGCCGCGCGCATTGATTTCTCCAGGCTATTACGAATATCTTGACAAACAAGCTAGTAACTGATCTGGACCCCAGCAATAATTCGAACCCGGGATCTTATGGTCAGCAATGGAATTTAGTACCGCGTAGTAGTTCTACCAGGTCGCTGATATTAGGAAATAACAATAATATAATTATATTTTCTGATAATACTTCGTTTACTTTCTAAATTAAACGGCAATTATTCAAATATGACAGAGTGACTAATCTTGTATCAAAAATAATACACTGATTTAACGAAAACAATTTGCTTTCAAACGGTAAACCAAATGTTAAACAGGCAAATACCAGTGCTCTTATAAATGAGAAGGAAGCTGAGTCTTGTTGATTCCACTGTTGTTTGTCGTGTTGAGTTCCGCTGAGTTTCTTTCTCGTTCCTCCCAGGACAGTGGTTTTATTTTTTCAAAACCAGTGGTAATTAAACAAAACAGTGACTTTCGATAAGTATTATTCATAATCGAGGTTGAATAAAAATGTTTCTGTTTCTGTTTATGATGTGCTCATTTGTCACCCGTATTCTATAAAAATAACTATTTCTCTCAGACTCTGCCGAAGAAACCGGACGTGGAAACAATGACGGAACAGATGTGGCTGTGCGTACAATACCTGCACAGTAACGAGCCAGCGTTTGAAGGACTCGCCGACGATTGTCTCAAGCGGATCCCTATCACCCTCGGCTCCTTCAGTGCGGTACGCAGCCAGCGACTATGCCCACTCATTAGATTATCAAACTATTTAAAAAACATACTGATCGCCTCACATATAGCATTTAAAAGCATTAAAAATATTTTTATTTAAATTATAATTACATACGATCAACTCTTATATTTGTGGTTCAACTTAATATCAGCCCACAACTGTGAACGCACTGTTTAGGTACATAATGCAGTTTTTTGCAATTAACATTTGTGTTAGAAGTAAGTGACATGGCCTGGAGGATGATAACTACTTGCTTGAGCTTCTAAAACTTCATCCATTTTTCTTCACATCCTGTTATATTGTGAATTGGTAGGTGATGAGAACTCGAACGACTGCTTGTGTTGTTTGTTGTTATTGTTCCTAGTAACAGGTGCAAACATCTCGACGATAAAATATATATTCTAATAGCACTCTTGTCGTAGCGGTACATACGTGGTAGAACCACGCTGCACCTGTATTATGGTTGTAGCACGAATGGGTCGGCTCGACCGGGGTGGTACCAAACTCTCACGGAATACAAACGTAAAATAACAGCTTAATGCTGCTGTGTTTTGTATGGTGACTGTATAGAACCAGAGGCTCTTTTTACTGGAAATGAGGTTTTCTATTTTAGTCCTCAGGTGTTGTCAACGTATCTGCATTTTGATTCTTAATCGAGTATAAATGTCTATGGACCACCGCATCCACTTATCATCAGGTGGACTGTGTGCTCGTTTGTCACCCTGTTGTTGTAATATTCAATTAAAGAAAAAACTACCTACCCTAATCTATACTAGTCAAAAAATTTTCTTACTCATGCCTCATTACGCCAGTGGATGAGTTGCCACGATAAAACTTTACAGAACTACTAAAGTACTTGATAACAAAACTTTGAAGTATTGTTGAAGTCAGTGCACTCATATCAAGCACTAGGCATATCAAGCACTAGGCATATCAAGCACTAGGCATATCAAGCACTAGGCATATCAAGGACTAGCCATATCAAGCGAAGTGCATTGCGCTCGTTAAAGTCACAAACGAGCTAACAGTCTACCTGATGGTACACTACGACTGAACTCTGAATTTTATCCTCATCATTTCGATTGCTGGCTGCCCACTACCGTGCGCATCACACAGAATTTTCTGCTTCGCACGACCATACTGGAATTTACTTGTGACCTATCCAAAACCTTCGATTGTGTTCACCATGAAACATTAATCAGGAAACTTCAACACTACGGTGTAAGAAGTGATGCTCTTAAATTAATTATTTCATATTTAAGTAAGAGAACGCAAAAAGTTGTCATTAACGGTATGAGTTCTTCCGGGTCGATGGTACAAATGGGCGTGCCTCAAGGCTCAATTCTCGGCCCCTTTCTGTTTCTTGTATACATTAATGACTTACCTTACATAGTAGGAGATAACCATGATATAGTATTATTTGCAGATTCGACAATACCACGAATACGACGTAGGGACCTTTAATAAAAGAGCCTACTCCTTTGTAAAAGGCCGGCAATGGACATACAACTCCCCTGGTGACGCATTTGTTCATGGGCGGTAGTCACTTACCATTAAGGGCGACGTATGCTTTTTTGCTTCCTCTACCAAACCACCACAAAACCTTGTAAATCATTAGGAAATTGCAAATTTATAAGTGCAGCAATAAACAGGATATTCACGTGGACAAGAGCGATACAAGGAGCGCAAATGTAAACTGGGATCAGAGGTTGTCGCCGTTCGAGAAACTGATGCTGCTAAAAAGTTTGATGGAAGAAAAGCTGGTATACGCGATCACGCAGTACGTGGTGCTGAGCCTGGGACCCGAATTCGTGGAGACACCGCCTGTACAAATACCCACGCTGTGAGTCACCCAGCCTCCTCACACAGTACCAGTAGTAGTAGACATAGGTGATACCAATCTCACCCTATATCAGGGGTTCCCAAAGTGAGAACCGCGGCGCCTTGGTATACTGTAGAGAGCAAAAAGCGGCGTCCTGAGGAACTCCTGTTTACTATCATTTCATCCACATTCATATCATCCACAACTAAGTGTGAGTATTCGTAGTACCAGTAGTGCTAGTGTCACCAAGTCGCTGCGTTCGCGACAAACAAGTCACCCGAATAGCACAGACTAAAACTAATAAACAGTCGCACATCACTACATAACCCCTTACTATGTACCTCACGAAATCGCACCTAAAATAAAAATCTCTTTTCTTGAGTTTTGGCGGGAACTTGACCGGCGTCGGATTGCTTCTCCTGTATTATTGTTTAAATTATGGTTTGAAGTAGATATTGATACGTAAATGTAGTGCGATATGTTTCTTTATAGGATAAGGGTGACATACGAGCACACAGTCCACCTTATGGTAAGTGGTTGCTGTGGCCTATAAACATCTACATCTATCTTCGATTACGAATCCAAATGCAGATGTGTTGTCACCCGTGAGCACTAAGAAGGCATGCCTCGTTTCCAGTAAAAAGGGTCTCCGGTTCTCTACACTCACCATACGAAACACAGCAGCAATAAGCTGCTATTTTACGCTGGTCTTCTGTGAGAGCGTGGTCCTTCCCCGGTCAAGCAGACCCATTCGTGCTACAACTATACTACTAATATAGTTACATTATTACACGTTAAATGTCTGCGCATGTGAACTGTTCGTAGAAACGATGAAACAAGTGCTCAAGCTGACAAGCTTAGGCGTCTTCAGACAAGTTGCCGTTAAAATCTCCCAAACCTTCACAATGTGACGCATCAACATATTGTAAAGAATTTGTGAAACAAATTATTATAAACAACCAGCTGGTACCCGGCGCATTGCTGCCAAAGAATAAATAATTGTGGAAATATCGTTTTAAATGTAGAAAAGTTGTAGTTTAATAAAGAATGATAAGAATAGATAAGTTTCAAATAAATTTGTTGTTGCGATACGCGGGTCACCTCCAACTACTATAAGTTAATTGTACTATGCCTATAACCTTTGTGCAAGTACAACAAAGTTTTACCAAAATTTGAAGAATAGTATGTCAACGCATAAAATATGAACAAACAAAAATTAATTTTTATATATTAGATAATTTCCTATTACACTTGATCCACCTGTTATAGTAAGTGGCTGCTGCAGCTCATTGTCACACGCAACCAACTTCACACAAAGAAAGCTACAGAGCATTGTCACCTGTGAGGACTGAGATGGAATGCCTGCTGAGCCTGCGCTATAGTGGCTCACTATACCCTGCAGACTGGAACACGGCGATGCGAGCACTCATATTTGGTGGTAATAGGTAAGAGCGCTGCACCTGCCAAAGCAGAAATATAGCCTTACCACCTTCTTTATCAGCCTGTAGCACTCCCTCATTTTTTTTAAATTTAATAAAGGGCAAACGTGCATGCGGTTCGCCTGATGGTAAATTACTACCGGCAACAATTGCAACATCGGGGGAGTTGCAGGTGCATTGCCGGCCGGCCATAAGGCGAAAAGAGCATACTCTTTTTAAAAAAAGAGTATGCTCTTTTCTTGAAGGTCCATAAGTAATATCGGTCCGAAAAATCGCTGATGATAGCCGATTCCACGAGGAAGTTGTACGAAAAAGAAAACTTCTGCCCATTGTAGCAAGAATTTCCCTCAAACGCTATTTGGCAGGTGGATTAACTAGAAGAAGACAAAATTAATACTTTATTTTAACATAAACCTAAGAAAATCCAGTTCTTTGATCAAAAACCTCGACTGATTTTGTTTTATAATAAAATCAATGTCGGTTATTGTTTCTTTAATTAAATAAAACTATTAGATAACCTAACCTTAAGCTAAGCTTAAATTTTATCCTAAACGAGTTTCAGGTTAGTGATAAAAAAAATTGCCTTCCAAGGTTTTTGATTACAAACCTGACTTTACCGTAAACCTGCGATATAGATGTGTAATATATACGAGTAACTAGTTAATCTGCAGATTACACGAATGAATCCGTTAAAATGCGAAAAAAATATTCAGTTCATACTTTAATCTGCACACTTGGTAGGTAATCTGCGGTATAATGACTGAGCATTCGTTTACAGAGCAGTTTCACAGTATGTTAAGGTGCGTACATTATGATGATATAAAACACAATATTGGAAGAATTGAAATTTTCAATTTCAAAAATTATAAAAAGTATAACTTGAAAGTAGTAGTAATTTTTGAGAACCGGAGACTCTTTTTACTGGAAAAGAGGCATGCTATCAGTCCTCACGGCTGACAATGCATCTGCATTTTAATCCGTAAACGAAGATAGATGTAGATGTCTATGGGCCGCAGCAACCACTTACCATGAGGTGGACTGTGTGTTCGTTTGTCACCCTTATCCTATAAAAAAAAGTAGCTTTGTCTGACAATCTTGGTATATGACCAAGATTCAAGTTGTCAAATTTGGTAGAAATCACTATTACCCAACATTTTTGCTATTAAGTGGTTTTGACCAACCTTAGTCAATACTTACTTTATTTGCAATACATTCAGCTCTCCGTCTTGGTCGATTTAACGGTATAGCATCCGTTAACATGGAGAGGTAAAATGCAGATATTTGCTAGTTTTTCATTTTTAATTTCGCACCTTAACGGATTGCACCCGATAATTTGTAATTTTTTAGCTAATGCGCACATTAACGCATTCCGCATTCATAACGGTAACATATAATATAATTCTGCTATACGTATGTTGTCACTGAACTCCTTCTAAATCTAAATGTCACTGAACCGATTTGATGAATTTATTTGTGCGCTTATTTGAGTGGGTGGGTGCGTGATTGGCCCTGGATAATTTAGATTTACGAGTAGTTGTAGCACTCTAATCGAGATCCAGAAAGCAACTGTGCGGAACCAGGGCGGATCGCTAGTATTATATAAGATATCTATTTTTGAAAAGCATTGAGAAACTGAATGATGCAGAGCAAACGCTAAACTAGCAACAAATAAATAAGTAATCAGTTTAACATTCGAACCAATTCTTCACTAGAAACATGCTGTTTAGGCCCAAACATGGTAATTTGAAACGGCATCCAATCGCCTTTGACTTAGCGCATCGCCCGATGGTGTGAGGTGATATGCGCACCTCTGGGGGGGGGGGGGCCATATGCCGCTTCCCGGCGTTCGGCCTGGTGGGTTAGCAACAGTAGCTTGACAGAAGCGTCTCTGTCTACTAGCGTATTTTATTTGAGACCGCTGGATCGGTTGCTCGCGGAATTTGTGTGATTAGAGTAATTTCGTTGCAATTGTGCCGTATGTCGCGTGTTTAATTTCGATAAACGTTGAATTGGTTGACTTTGAAGTTAATTATATGTACAATAACGTTGATAGACTGGAATAGTGTGAACAACTGCCGGTCGAAAGGACGTGTAGAATTTACTATTGGAGTTTTTCGCTTCTAGTTTTGGTTATCTTTAGTGCGTTCACGCGATACGAAGCCGTAATATTTTGAGTGATTAACCTAAATTCGTTGGCAAGTAATTTACTTAAATTGTATAGTGATAGCCGGTTGAAGTGCTTGACAATATTAATTTGCGTCGACGAGTTGCTTTGTGCCATTTGATGTAACTCGGAGATATTTTCCTGTGTCGGTTCAAAACGCTAAACTTTGTGACCCACGAAAAACAGCGTTCGTATTAGATTATAGATTTGTGCTAAGGGACGCTAGACTTTGAGTGACATTGAGGTGACTCCGCTGGCGGATACCACACCGTGTGGCGGTGCCGGAGCCAGGGCTGCTGCTGCTTAAAATGGTTAAGTAAGGTTTCAAATGTTACACACCACTAAACACCACTTACTTACACCACTTACATACACTACACCTACCGCCTGACCGAGCCTTGTGGCCAGTCTTCACTTCGGAACCAGGTACGTACTGTTTATTTACCTAGCCTTATATCTATTGTGTAGAATAATAAGTCTCCATAGGCCGTTGGGCCCCACCCTTAGTTGTTCGTCGAATCTACAGCTGTATGGGCCCTTGTATGGTCGACCTTTGTTGGGGCAACTAGGGGCGTGTACATTGTTGGTAGCAGGAGCGTGGTTGATTGGTTCTCCAATCACCCGGCCGTAATATAGATAAAAATAGTACGTAATAAAAATTACATAGTTTTTTTTCTTGTTAGCGGGTAGATTTAGGAACCACGCCCGTTAGGTTGCGCAAGCGGGATTGTAGCTTAGGGCTAGGTACGCGTCAGGTATTTTGGGTAGGTAGATAATGTTATCACGTAATCGGATAATTATCGTTGTCGTATAATTATCGTTGATTAATTGTCGAAGGGTCAGTCGCTTCAGCGAGGCATCTTTTCTGACCGACTGTAGTGTGTACTTGCCGTATAGTGTAATCTGTATTTAATTGAATAAATAGTAATTTGTATTTGTGTAATTGTATTTAACTTGATTTGATCGTAATTGTATTTGTTATTTGTTAATTTTATTTGTATTTGAGCCGCGTATTAATTGTATTTAGTAGTGATGCCATCGCACAAGCTACCGATTCGTCGCCTGAAGGCGGAGCTGCGCTAGGCCGCTAGCGCCCATGCTTTGATAGGTCGACCGGATAGGGTCTATAGTTTGGAGAAGCGGCTCGAGCAGGTCGCGACCCGGGGGGCCGTAGTGGAGGGGGCTTACGCTGAGCTCGAGGCCTCGGATGCGGAAAAGGGAGTCCTGGACTTCTGCCTCGCGGACTATGAGCAGTTCTTTTCGCCCACGGACGACTTGATCGAGGCCGGGGCCAAGTATGCTAAGGAAGCGCGTGAAGCTCTGATGAGTGGCCTGCCCGAGTCCCCTTGGAAGCGGCCTACTCAGCAGGAGCTGTTGGGAAGACTCCCAGCTCTGGACCTGCCCAGGTTCTCCGGGGT